AGCCCCTCCTGAACCTGTGCTGCAGGATCCTCTAGGACAGGCAGGGTTATCCGGGCAGCTAATGGTGGACAGCTGTGATGTGAAGACCTCAGCTGGTTGTGGTGCTCAAGCGCCCTTTTCTTTCAAAACTTGTCTGCTTTACCTTCTCTACAGCCACGCACGTGGAGGATTATGGAGACTGAACATCCTCAGAGAGTGCCAGGTGAAGAAAGGGATATATGTCTTGGTGATGCAGATGTGCATGCACTTACCGCACATGCATTAATGTTAGTGGGAAGTCTGCCCAGATACCAGAGTATAGCAAGGAAAACTGGTATTTACTAGGGTAATGCAGCAGACATTGCTGTTTGCTAGGTAGTACTCTTCTCTCACATATATCGCATCCTACATGGCCCAGCTGCTGACGCCAGGGATACACTGACTGCGCTGGCTGCTGGACAGAACAGCGGAGCCGCATGGGCAGTCCCGGCCGGCCATGAGATGAAAGAGTCCTTGGATCAGGATGGGAACCCAGCAGATGCACTCATCAGCAGAAGCTGTGGGAACCCAAATCACGTTACTGCTATTCTGAGGCGGGGCTTTCTGTGAGCTGGCTCTGTACATTTTGGCATTTCAACTGAGTCAGCAGAAATACAGATTTATGCAGAAGCACGCTACTCAGAAGCCATGTGTCAAAACTGGCGTAGTACAGCAGCAGCTTTGCTTTGCCCAGCATTACTTGCTGCCTTTGTGGTACAAATATTAATCCAAAATGCACGCTGGCCTGCACATTGCAATTAAACTTGACATGTTCAGACTAAGGATATAATTCTCTTTCAATTTCCCAAACTTTTTTTACATCTGGACAGAATACCTAAAGTCATGTTTATTTTTTTTTCTGTCATGATCCCTTCTGGATCCTCTCCTGGCACAGTTAGTCATTTCCATGGTGCTTCATAACTGGTATACTAAATCAGTGTTTTCAAGAACCTGAAAATAAAACAGGATTATTCTGGGCACAATACAATTCCATGGGGTTTGGGGAGATTTGTGCATGTTAATGCAGGCCCATCCCTGCGCAGGAGCATCTTTCAGCCACGAGAGGTGGGGGACACAAATACCCTTGATTAATCTTTCTTTTTTTCCCTCGTAAAACTTTTGACTGGTTCTGACCTCCAGGGGTAGCTGGATGCTACCACAGCAGAAAGAGGCAGAGCTGTGCTGCAGGCTGCGAGGACTCCTCCGTAAAGGAGCAAGTCAGAAGCTCCCATCCTCATCCTCAGACTGCATGCTGTGGCCCGAATGAGTGGCTTGAAAGCCAGAGATGTTGCCAAGGATTTAATTAGTGTTGTCTGCATGTTGCCTTGGGAAGGACGCTCCAGCATAATGCCAGAAAAGGCCAGATATGGACTAGTTTCATATTTCAGGATGCCATTTTGGAACAAGATGCTGAGACTCGTTCCCTGTGCTAAAGTGGCCATCCTGCAGCTCCGAGCTGAGAGACGTGAAAGGATCCATCAGGTCCCACTTCATGCTATTTCCCGAGGGATCTAGCAACACCATAAGCTAGCATGTCCTGATATAGCCCACTTTTTCCTGCCGTAGTTCAACAGTGCAGGTCCTTAAACATACCCTTTTGCTCCCTACAAGCCTTGCACCGGTTTGCACGGTGTGGCGAGTGACATTTGTGCAAGATAAGCCCCACTGATGCCACTGTAGCGCTCCAGCCTGTCAAGGCCATTCCACCCAAACACGCAGAGCATCGTGGGTGGCATCAAAGACTCCATCCTTCCAACAAAGACCCTCTGTAGAAGGCACCCTCTGGTGCGAATAACAGCAATAAATCCAAAGAAAACAAGTGTGTATTTTAGGTTTAAGCTTGAATGTGGGTAACAATTACTCCGGTGTCTGTTTTAAGATGACACACTGAAGCCAGAACAAGTGAATATCTGACTGTTTAATGTGCCAACATCTTCCTGAATCATCTCAGCAAAAAGAAGAATCAAGATCAGGATATAAAGCTAAGCAGCAGATACGAGCAGGACCAATATAACAACTGTGGTGGGTACTTTTTTATGCAAGCAGGTGAACAGGCACGGGGTCCATGCAGGATGGTCTAGCCTCAGCAGCTGGGTGCTTCTTGTACTCCCAGCTCTTGGGATGACCCTAAAATTTGGCATTGCCCTCAATCTGTCCGGCAGCTTGCACAGACACAGGAAGATGCCTCCTGCTCTCCTGTGCTCTCAGTGCCCTCACAGACCCTGGCAGGGCAGCAGGCTGCTCCCAGGCTCGTCCCTTCAGAAAGGAGAGGAGCTCTGAGACCTGCAGGGATGCTCCTGGCCGGCCACAGCAACACAGGGCAGGTCCTGCCAGCCATGCAGGCCTCCGGATGTGGGTCTCACCTTCTCCCTTTGCACAGGAAGGCAGCAGTAGCAGCTCAAAGCAGTTGGGCTGCAATGAGAAGTTGAGGTCAGGTCCAGCTCCAGGCTCCTAGTCTTGCTGCTGCGATAGAGGAAGGCAGCTGCCTCTGGCAGGGAATCTTTTCAGCCGCAGAAAGTGTCTCCCACCTCCCTGCTGGAAGATTTTGCAAGCGGTACTGAGGCAGCAGCAGGGGGAATATGCCTGTTAGACTCTAGTGAGAAGTAGAAAAGTGAAAGACTTTGCAAAGAAGGCTCTGCCCATTTATACTACCCTCACGCCGCAAGGTTACAGCCCCTTGTGGGGAAGCCCTGGGTCACAGCCTCACTCCAACAGCTTCACAGCAGCAATCAAATGTCTGAAAAGAGGGAGATGTCCCCTGGCAGAGATGCTCAGCAGCACCAGGGAAAGGCCATCCTCTTGCCAGCTTGGGCAAATGGGATCCAGCACCTGTCCCAAAGCGCCCACAGGAGGGCTGCAGGATGGGGCGGCGGAAATCATCCCCATCTCTTCTGCTTCAGCTGAGCGAGGTCTGGTCTAGAAGGCTCACGCTGTGAATCTGCAGGGGAGATAGCTGGTGTTGTCCTCCTACCCACCACCCTTTGGCTTTGTCCTGAATTTTTGTGAATCCCCTTCTAGAGCACCTGAGTGTTTGCAGATACAAAAAAAAAAAGCCTGGTTGCCCGAGGGTGGTGAGGCACCTGAAAGGCAGGAGCTGTACTGCAGCTGGGACCTGGGCAGCAGCTGAACCTTTTCCTGCGGTCACAGTCTTTACAATTTGGAGAACATGTTATGGTCCACATGAGGCAGCATGTATTTCTTGCGAAATGGCCCGTTCTTGCGAAAGAGTGTACCTTGCAGATTGCAAATATGAATACACATTAAAATAGTAAACCCTATCTGAAGATATGTGGTTTAAAAGAATGGTATTTTGTGGCTTGTTCTGCTCTAAGAAGTAAGCCCAAGGGCTCTCAGTATGCGTGGAAACACTACAAGGGCAGACTCTTACAGGAAACTAAATTTCTAGAACAAAAGATAATCTACTCTTTGCTGTTTTTTTCCCTTCCTCCCAGGAGGAAGGAAGAGGGAGGGAGAGAGAGGAGGGAGAAAAGACACACCTGAAGGGATTGTCAGTTTTGTAGAACTGCCCAGGACAGAAGAAAATGCACAAGCTGAAAGAATTAATGATGAAATACGTTTCTAGGACTGTGCAATTACATTACATGCCGTAGCTTTATTACAAAACTTCAAATATGGTGATATCTTGTAGGCAGAAATAGATCAGGACTAAAAGCTTCAGAACACCATTGCATTTATCTATCAATATTTATATATATTAAAAGATACATATATATGCATGTGTATGTATACATATGTATACATATGTATGTATATGCATAGGAAACCATTCACACATAAATCAGTCACTCACAGTTACCAGTAACTGGGAGGTCAACCCCAATCATACACTCAAGAGTGGTGACCATACTGGCACATCAGTTGCTTAAAATGTCCAAAAAGTTCCCCCATGGAGAAGGCTGAGTGTCATCTGGGTTTTAGGCATCTCTGGAGCCTCTGTCTGCTCAAACCAGCCAGTGCCATGTGCTTTAGATATCACCTGAGTTACAGGACGCTTGGTGCATTACCCCATCTGTGTCTCTCCCCATCCTGTTTCAGGCATCCACAGAACCACCAGCCCTTCAGGGCTCTGCTGAGAGTAGCCACCATCCTAGCCTGTGGCTAACCAGCCAGAGGGTCCACAAGAAGCTGCGACATAGGACTTATCACTCAGTTAGCTCACACTCAGTATTTTTTCCACTCTTCAGCCTTTTTATCCTGGTAACTATTCCTCCACTCATCCCTAGGGCACTCCTTCATTCCCATAAGGGTTTTTTCTTGACACCCACAGTGTCGTTTCTAGGCTACAACTTCCAAACCCTTCCAGCCCAGGAGCTGCAGGCCCTGGTAGCAGATGAGGAATCAAGATCATACCTAGGTATTCCTCCACGCTGATTTCAATAAAACACATGCATAGCATTTATTTCTTTTTTGCTTATCTAATTATACACTTACTAAGCTCTTTCTGGGCTGGAGATCTGTCAATTGGGAGCCGGGCCTTGGCATGATGCCTTAAACTTGGGCAGTTTCCCTCCAAAGAGCAGGTTCCCACTCCTGCTGTGAGTCTTGTCCCTGCTTACGAAGCTAATTCACTTTGCTGAGAAGAGGTAAGGAGCGGCCAAGTGTCCCGAGTTCGGAAACATAAACAGTACCTTTCAGTACTGAATCTGAGGTGGGGGAAGAAATGTTCCTAAGACACCTCTCCATGCTGCTCGGGCAGTGCAGGAGCCTGCTGGTAATTTTGGCCTCTCTTTCAGAAAGCAGGCAGGGCAGGATGGGCCGAGGGAAAGGGAGGAAGATACTAAAAAAAGATGCTGAAAAGTAAGAGCCCCAAAGGCAACCATGACAAAAGCAAGCTCAAGCAGCTCCTCACCCTCTTCCTGTCCTAAAAGGTGGCCCAAAGAGTCATCCCTGTGGATGCCCTGCTGTGAGGATTTCTCAACTTCAGGTCACCTGTTCGGGATGAAAGTTTTTGACTTGTAGCTCTACAAGACAGTGCCAACAGAAGACAACTGTGAGGACGTCGCCTGCAGAGAGGAGTGTTTGTCCAGGCTGCGCCCATCGAAAGCATTGTAGTCTTTGCAGATCAACAGAAAACGTGTGCATTTTCTAAAAGCTTCACGGAGATGCTTCTTGAACTTTTCACCCACGAAGGCGTAAATGACTGGGTTGAGGCAGCAGTGGATGGCAGAGAACACCTCAGCCAGCTCCATGGCTATGTCTAGCCTTTGGCTTGTCTGGCAGTCATCAATGATATACATGTTCTGCAGAGAGTCCAGAAAAAGCACAATGTTGATGGGGGTCCAGAAGAAGAAGAAGATAATGATGACAATAAAAACCAGTTTAATTGCTTTGTACTTGTTCTGAGTACGGCACTTCTTCAGGTTTTTCAAGATGCTGTGGTAGCAGAAAATGAGGACACCAACAGGGATCAGCCACCCTAGGACATTGACTTCAAAATTACTGAAAGTCTTCCAGCTGATGTTGCTGTCAGGATAGTGAGGGGTGCACTTTGTCCGGTCATTGTCAATCGTTTCCTGGTAAAAAATTAAGTCTGGCACAGATGCTAAAATGGCAATTGCCCAAAGGACCAAGCTGGTGATAACCCCATGGGCAGCTGTCCGAACCTGGAGAGCATAGACAGACCGGACAATGGCCAAGTACCTGTCGATGCTCATGATGGTTATGAAAAAGGCGCTGCTGTAGAAACCAATGAAGTAAGCTGAGCTGATGATTTTACACATCGCATTTCCAAAAGTCCACTGGGTCATGATGGAGTAGTGAACCAAGAAGGGGAGGGAGAAAACAAAGAGAAGGTCAGAGATGGCAAGGTTCAGCAGCTACATGTCAGACATGGCCCTGACTTTCTTGAAGACTATTAGGACCCAAACAACCAAAGCATTTCCCACAAGGCCAGTCACAAACAGTAGGGAGTACAGCACTGGTAAAAAGGTCGATGTAAATGCTGGAATACTTCCAAGATCACAGCTGATGTCCAGTTCTGGGTAGAAGAAGGTGTAGTCATAGGCTGCAGAGGAGTTAGTTGTTGGTGATGTGTAACCCACCTGTTCAAGGACAATGAAGATCGTGAGGCCCAAATCCCAAATTACCCTCTTAGTAAATATACTAGGTACAAGTCAGCTCACACCAAGCCACAGGAAGACAAAACAAGCTGTGCCCCAGCTATGTTGGAGGATGCAAATGAGGGATGAACGTGAGTGACCTATCCTCCCCTGCAAGATCTGGGATGAGGTTCTTGCACCAACAGGCACAGAGGAGATCAAGAAAAATGTGGTTGTGGTTACCAATATTCCCCCGCCAGTTCCATGTGGGGTGCCCAGCCCCGTGCCTGCAGTCCAGGTGGATGTGATGGGGCATCGAGGCTAGAGCCAAGGAGCCTCCCCAACTAGCAACTAAATGGGCATAGCCATGGGGCTGAGACCCCCTGACAAAGGTTTTGGGGTCCTGTTCCATGTTTCCTTGAGAAAGGAGGAAGGGGGGAACTGACGTGTAAGTGCTCATCTCCTAAGAGCTGCATTTCCCGAAATACCCCTTTGTGGGACAAGTTACTTTTGCAGAGGATTCCCGCATGGTTCAAGCAGGTTTCAGCTGTAAAGGCACCAGCACATACAGGTCACTGGTGGGTGCTGCACCTTGCACACTCTCGCCACCCCGGGTGAGATCAGTGGTGGCAGCTCTGGCCCTAGGGGCAGCTTCCCAAAGGGCAGACAGGGGTTACTGCCCCTTCTTCCCCCCTCTCCAGCAGGAACCTTGCCTTCTTCACCTGTGCCAGCACAAACCACTGCTGGCAGCAGCTCATGCCCACCAAAACTTTACTCTGCTAACAGGGATGGCTGGTTTTCCCTTCAACACCAGCAGCTCTGCTCTCCTGGCACCAGTCAGAGGCAGCAACATTCCCCTTCCCTGCTCCCTGGCCCCTCGCAGCCCCCCAGCAGCAACCACCGCAGCCCTGGGCAGCGCCTGTGACAGCAAACAGCTAAAGAAGATGGGTGGCAGCATATCCCCCAATCTCATCAGCCAAAGATATTTTTACTCACTGTTTTTTTTTTTTCAGAGAACAATAATCACACTGATTTCTTCTAAACCCTCGCTGTCCCTACCAGTACTATGTGCCCCCTTAGGCAAAATTAGACCCCTCAGATGTGCAACTGGGCTCGGCTTGCAGGGCAGCAGCAACAGACTCACCGACATGTCCTCAGAGACCCTTCTAACCGGCAGGTACGTCGAGTTCTCCTCCATAGTCCAACACTGTGTCTGAAAAAGTCCAAAAAAATGCCTTTATGTCACAGGTTTTTAAGAACTGGGCATACCTTCACACATATATGCTGGCAGTATTTACCTTAGCTTATTTTGCAATGACAAGTCACAGGCAAGGTCCTCACCGTAGGAGTGCACAGTCATAAAATGCCTTTTCCTCTCTGATATGTGTTGAAAGCCAGCGAGTTCACCTCTTTATTTGACACTTAGAGAAACGGAAGCATGTCAGCTTTATCTTCTAAGTGATCTATGTCTTTCCACTCTGAGAACCAACATGAACGTCAGTGGAAGAGATTTGCAATTCATCCCATGCGTCTGCAAAGTGTTCCTGTCCCTCACCTGCAGCCCCTGTTCTGCAGCCCCCGTGGCTGGGACAGGGGAAGCAGTGCTGTCTCTCCTCTGCTCCCAAGATTTTCGGTGAAGATGACTGTGGGGGACGGCCCAGTGCTGCCAATAGCCAGCAATGGCAAAGGACACCACGATTGCTTTGATATTTTTCTTTCAAAGGTGCATTCCCCCTGCACCCACCCACCCACAGACAGAAATACCCAAGTGAACTGATCATAAAATCTTAGAATTTAAGATCATCGAGTCCAACCGTTAACCTAACACTGCCAAGTCCCTATCGACCTTCCTTCCCAAAACACGCACCCTGCAGGACACTCTCACAGATGAACATTGAAGTAAAGCCCTGAACAGCACTGGATTTCCATTACCTCCGCCAAGTACCTGCTGGGACCTCACTCTGACCCAGCGTGGTTTTTGTCCTACAGCCATCTCCAATCTCCCCCACAACATGACCGCCAGCCCCTGTTCGGCAGCCCCCGTGGCTGGGACAGGGGAAGCAGTGCTGTCTCTCCTCTGCTCCCAAGATTTTCGGTGAAGATGACTGTGGGGGACGGCCCAGTGCTGCCAATAGCCAGCAATGGCAAAGGACACCACGATTGCTTTGATATTTTTCTTTCAAAGGTGCATTCCCCCTGCACCCACCCACCCACAGACAGAAATACCCAAGTGAACTGATCATAAAATCTTAGAATTTAAGATCATCGAGTCCAACCGTTAACCTAACACTGCCAAGTCCCTATCGACCTTCCTTCCCAAAACACGCACCCTGCAGGACACTCTCACAGATGAACATTGAAGTAAAGCCCTGAACAGCACTGGATTTCCATTACCTCCGCCAAGTACCTGCTGGGACCTCACTCTGACCCAGCGTGGTTTTTGTCCTACAGCCATCTCCAATCTCCCCCACAACATGAGATGTGTAGGAAAGAGCAGCACTACTGAGCAACGGGTAGCATTTGAAGTGTGTGTTACCTCCTTAAATACTACTGCTCCTCATTATAGCCTGGTGCTGTTACTCTAATTCAGGCAAGTCACATCACCTTTCTTTTTTTTTTTTTTTGTTTTTGAGCAACCAGTACCTCACCGGTTGTCAGTCCGTAGATGTGCTGCTGGAGATCCCCATGCAGAATGGTCTATTGTGTTTCTCAAACCCTCTGAATGCCCACTTTCATTCACTGCTGCTGCAAAGGCAGAGGGATAAATCTCTGTGAATTGAGAAAATCTGCAGCTATTCCACATGTGGCAGTGGCTGGTTTGCTTTGGCTGTGGTGGGCAGTGTGATATTGGGTCAAAATTTTAGTATGTGAATCAAGCCATATGCATATGATAGTCTGATTGACAGCCAAGCTCTGCTAGGTATTAAGTCTTGCAACAGCTGAAAACAGAAACTGAAACCAGAAGCAAACTCCTTAGTCATAGGAGTTACTGGCAGTGTTGAAGTGGGATCTCCATTTGCAGGAATTCCATTGTCAGGAATTACGCAATGTGGAAAAAGAGGTGGCAACCAAACAGGAATTTTGGCCCCTTAGGCAGCTCTGTTCCTCTCATCTCCTAAACAGAGGTGACAGGCTGCCCGAGCACAGGGAACAAGCAGCCCCAGCAGCACCGAGACTGCTGGGGAGCTGTGAAATGCCCACGCATCTCCCCGTGCAGCAGGGAGAGAGGCTCACAAGCCACCGTGGGCGGTAGCTGGGGCTGAGGGTGACACCTGGGACACTCACACCGCAGGCGTGGTGCTCAGGGGAGGCATTTCAGCGAGCCCGAGCGAGGGAGGCGCAGGCTGCCTGCGGCGCTGTCGCCGGCCATCTCTGGTGCATGCATGGGCTGGCGCAGACGCAGCAGCACAAAGCACCCTCGGAGCCACCGCGGCTCCCTGGCCTCACGGCATGGGTGGCTTCACAAGCCTTGCACGGCAGTGCGAAGCCCAGTCCAAGGGGAGCCCAGGAACCATGCAAATTTGCCTCCAGCCCTGGTGGGAAGGCGGCCACTGTGTCGTCGTCCCCCCCCTTTCAAACAGCAGTGTCAGTGGGAGAGGAGGAGGAGCGGGAGGAGGAGGAGGAGGCAGGTGCACAGGAGGAGCGGAGAGGGCTGCAGCTGTCCCTGGGCAGCCACCCTGCAGGCAGGACAGTGCCCGGGCGCTGCTGCCACTCCCACTGGCAGCGTGCCCCAGCCCTGGATGGGATGACCTGCTCTTGCCTGCCTGCTCCTCGGCCTTGCAGGTGCACTTACGGTGTTACAGTGGAGGGAAAATATGAGTAGCAGCACGAGATAAACACAACCTGTTTCTTCTGGCCAGAGCCTCAGCAGAAAACTTGCTACAGGTGCTGAAGGGCCAAACCCTCCCAGTTACAGCAGGGTCCTGGTCTGCAGCATGACAGCACACATCCCCCTAGGGATGCTTTTGTCTTGGGTTGAGAGCTAGAAAACATCTTTCTTAACTCATAACCACAAATCTGGCACCTTCAGCACTCAAGAGGTGCTTGGCTGCAGTGGTGCAGAGAGAGGGGTGGTGCTGGATGCAAACACATCCGCCAGCTTCAGCTCTGCTTCTCAGGGCTCGACAGCAGCAGCTTTCCTGCAGCAATGTCAAGGCCATTTGCTAATCTGCCCAACACATGTCAGGACATCACCTTGCTCATGCACCCTGGTTGTGCCCTTACCACTGCGTACCATGAGCCATGTCAGTGCCCCCATTGCGTGCGAGTTCGTGCGTGCAGCGTGCTGGTGTCTCCCTGTTTGTAACTGGGGTGAGGCTGGTCGTTGGTGCTGGCTGGCCACGGTGACCTGCAGATCCCTGCAGAGCCCTGTGGGATCCTCCTGTGGAAGATGTCCTCACAGCACAATGCACGCAGGGCATATGGTCTACCTCTCTGGTCATGGGCAGATCGACTGTGTCAGTGTCACCCGTGTGTGATGCTTGTCAGACTGCCAGAAAGAACCGCTGTGAAGACATGTCCACTCCACAGCCCCAGACCCATTGGCTCTGGCACGGAGGTGGATTTGTTGACCAGTGCTGTCACTGGAAATGATCTTGCGGAGGGTGTGTGTGTGTGTGTCTCCTGCACTGGCAGTGCCTCAAAGCAGTGTTTGGCTCTGCAGAGAGGCTTGTGTCCCTCAGCAGTTGGTGACATTTGGCTTTTCAGTCCCTGTCTCTCAGCAACTGGGGAAATTTGGAACTATGGTGAGACTGTAGGGTGAGGCATGGGGGTAGAAGGGGACCATTCAGGGTTCAGACAGAGCTGTCCTACACCTGAAGCCAATAGTGGCTGGGCACCCCAGCTGCAGTCACCCCTGAGCAGGGACCCAGATCATGCAGGTAATTTTTGCTTCCACCCCCCCCTTTTTAATGAAGAGCAAATATGTCTCCCACTGGTGGCTGGAAAACCACCAGAGCTGAGTTGTCTTCTTGCATCTCTCCAAGATAGTAACGTGAAGGGATGAGGCTTCCTCTGCTGGGTTTTCCTGCAGAAGTGAGGCATGGAAATGATCCCTGCAGAGACATGTGTGATCATGCTGCTTCACCTCCTCATTCACCATGAATCTTATTTTAAGGGAGCAAAACTCTTCCAGCCAAGAACCTGGAAACTGCTGTTTGTGCCAGGGTTTCAGGCTGGAAGAGCTTTCTTGGAATGTCCACAATTTGGCCACTATGTTGCAGCCCCTGCTTTTCTTCGGGAAGCAACACAAGTGTCCGTTGTAGCTCCACCCAAAGACATGGAGGGAGAAGATCCAGCTGCACCACCCTCAGCTCCATACAAAAGCTCAGCTCCATACAGAAACATTTCAAATGCATCACTGGGGTTTGTCAGCCTTATCAGAGTTGTTAAGCTCACTCCTCTAAACAATAATCTAAATGTGGGTTTAGTGTGTCTTCCAAGCAAAAGTCAAACAAGATGCAAACTGCCATGGCTAAAGTCAGAATTAGCCATTAAAAGTAATGTAATGTAATTTTAATTTTTTAATTAACCAATTAAAGTCAGAGTGAGTGAGTGGCTGTGTGGTGCTTAGTTGCTGGCTGGGGTTAAACCACAGCATTCCTTTTTGGCGCCCAACGTGGGGCTTGAAGGTTTGAGATAATGATAGATCTGACCAGAGAGTGTTAAAACAAATTTGTTATAAGAATTTATTATATTAGCTTAGTAATTGCTGGTCACAACATTGATTTATTTCCTCTCAGAGTTGTGCTAAATAACACCTTCCTTGCTGTACATACTTTGCTGTTTATCACCTCTGGGAGGTGGATTAAGGTTCTTACTTTTCTGTACTGTGTAATACTGCCTTATGGTATGATAAAATTATTGGTCATGAGGTCAGTCTCATAGCTGTAGTCAGCATTGCCATCAACTCTGTACTTTGGGAGCCATCTATCGGAAATTATTAATAATTACATTTTTTACTTCTTCTCCTCAGAGATCCAGCCTCTGGAGGCGACTCCTGTCAGGCATGAAGGAAAGGCATCCCTTCAAGGAAGATGTTATATGTCACCCAGGCAAGCAGACCACCATGGAGAGAGGTATCCAGTACCTGAGGGAATTAGCAATCCCCTATCATGCACCAGCCTCTGGGAAAATCAAACGATACAATGGACTGTTAAAGACTACACTGAGAGCAACGGGTGCTGGGACATTCCAACTTTGGGATACACACTTAGCAAAGGCCACCTGGTTAGTCAACTCCAAGGGGATCTGCGAACTGAGCTGGCCCTGCCCAGTCAAACCTCTTATGTGCTGCAGAGGGGGACACAGTCCCTGCAGTGCATATACAAATATGTTGGGGAAGACAGTCGGGGTTACTCCTGCCTCGGGCAAAGGCAAAATCCCCCATCCATGGGATTGCTTTTGCTCAAGGACCTGGGTGCGCTTGGTGGGTGATGTGGGAGGATGGGGAAGTCCGATGTGTACCTCAGGGGGATTTGGTTTTGGGTGAGAATAGCCAATGAACTCAATGCTATGATGTTAATTGCTGTGTAATACTGTATGTCATCACTTCTGTGGTTGCTCTATGCCATAGCAATGGTATTACAGTAAGAATAGCCCAGATTCACGAAGAATGAACTTGGATGAAACCAAGAAAGTGAAGCGGTGATGGAACCAGAACTGGCTTCAGCATGCAACAGTCCAATACCACGCACCACCTCTCCTGCCCTGAAAGCATGTTACAGCAGATGGAGCCCAAAGTCATGGGCTAAATGCACCCAACGGACATTTTAGAGGGATGGCCCGCAGACCAAGGGAATGATGTCTGTGTGTATGTATTAAAAGACAGGAAAAGCAGCGCTGATTAATTGAAGTGTATTGGAGAGTATGGGACCTGGGCATGATGTAGGTGGTATAGAAAAAGGGGTGGATTCTGTCCTGGTTTTGGCTGGGATAGAGTTAATTTTCTTCCTAGTAGCTGGCATATAGTGCTGTGTTTGGGATTTAGGATGAGAATGACTTTTCAGCTTCCCATGCTCTGCCAGGTGCACAAGAAGCTGGGAGGGGTACAGCCAGGACAGCTGACCCCAGCTCGCCAAAGGGGGGATTCCATACCGTATGATGTCATGCTCAGTATATAAACCAGGGGGAGTTGGCCAGGGAGCAGCCATGGCTGCTTGGGATGGGCTGGGCAGTGGCCAGTGAGCAATTGCATTGTGCATCGTTTTGTGTATTCTTTTATCATTGTTATTGTTGCAGAGATTCCCCTGCAGCCCGTGGTGAAGACTGAAGGGAGGCTAAAGGGTTAACAAAAGGACCTTTGTGAAGCCAACTGTAGATCCATCTTAAATTGCTGACATTGTGTTTTATATTAACTTACTAATCATGAAGTAAACACTATAGATAAGAAACTAACACTGTAGGGAATGTGGAAGAGGGGAGATCAGTAGCAAATGGCCCATCTTTGTTACAGGCCTTGGAAGGCACGTAGGAGAACAAAGCGTCTGGCACTTTGTCGATATGAGGA